ATTATTTAGTCTTTTTGACGATATCCTTATTAATAGTAAAATTTAGGATACTATTTAGAGAATTTGAGAGTTGTTTTGATGTCTTGCAAAGCCATCATTTGAAAGTAATGGTTAAAAACTACCAATTTGAGATGCAAAAAGTTCATATTTGGGACATTTAATTTCCAACCAAGGAGTGGCAGTTGATCCAATGAAGATTGAAGCTATCTAACATGGCAAAAACATAAAAGCAATGCGAATGCGAGGGTTATTGTGACTTACAGGTTACTATCGAAAGTTTATTCAACATTATGGCAAAATTGCAGCTCACTCAATGTTAAAGACAAACCTTTTGGATAAGCCTTAGATAAGTTTTCAAAAACTTAAGCTCGCGATGACACATGCCTTGGTACTAGTTTTACCTGATTTTTAAGATTTATTGTTAATTGATGCTTTGGTGTTGGTGTGGATGTTGTTCTTATGCAGGAAAGACCAATTGCATTTTTTTAGCCAAGCTTTCCAAGGAAAGAACCTTCTCTTCAACTTATGAGAAGGGAATTTCGGAATATGCTTGCTGTCAAAAAATGGCGACCCTATTTCTCGGAAGGGATATGTCACGGAGTGACCATCAGAGGTTAAAACATTATGGTTAAAGATAACAACTTGGATCAACAACGTTGGCTTTACAAACTGATGGGGTATGTTCTTAGCTAATATAAAAAGGGTGGTGAGAATAAAGTTATGTAGCACTTTCAAGACGGCATGAAGACCAAGAATATTGTATCCTCATTTGCATTCACCCAACTTTACCTCATTAGGTGGAAATGTAAAGAAGAAACAGCTTAAGATTTACAATCTCGAATTCAGAAAGGAGAGATGCTTCAAGCCATGACATGTGCAGGATGAAATAATTTTTTTTTTTTTTTAAGAAACGCATTTATCTCTCCCTAGATTCTAAAATCACATCAACAATTATAAAGGAATTTTATGGTAGTATGCATGAAGAATTTGTTAAGATCTTCCAAAGCAGTAGAGTTAATTTTTTTAGAGAATGAGGAAACAAATGAGAGAATTTATCCGTGGATGTGATGTCAATGATACAAAGCATAAAACATTGCACTAGTTGGATTGCTGCAACCCCTCCCAGTTCCTTCTAAATTGGGGAAGTATTTCAATGGATTTATAAGGGTCTTTCGGTCACAAGATAAGACAACTCTTGTGGTTGGGAAGACTATCAAAGTATGCCCATTTTATTCCTCTTTCTCACCCATATACTGGAGTGAGAGTGAACGATTATTTTTGACAATATTTTCAAGTGCATGGTTTGTCAAGATCCATTACTTGTGATTGTTATCCTATCTTTATCGGAGCACTTTGGAGGGAAATATTTCATCTAAATAGAGCATCTTCTAATTTTAGCTCAAGTTACTATCCAAAATGAAATGGTCAGTAGAACATTAGAGATGGTCTGAGGTGTTTTACAAGTTCTAAACTAGAGGAGTGGATGAGTTGGTTGTCATGGGCGAATTTTGTTAAAATACAGTTGGTAAGCTACGTACACAAAGACCCCATTTAATAGTTATGGAAGAAGCCCCTACGATTCCTTGACTATATTCCTAGGACTGCACGTTTGGAAGCTGTCGAGCAAGAGTTGATTTCTAGATACCAAGTCCTAAGGATGTTGCAGGTATATTTCTAAGTTCAAGATAGGATGAAGAAATTATATGATGCTAAACATAAGAAAGGAGTTCAAGATAAAGGATTATGTTTATCTCAACTACAACCATACTATTCATCAACTATTTCTCTATGAGAATACAAACTCTCTACTCAAGTTTATGGCCTTTTGAAATATTGAACGAATTGGAAAAGTGAAGTATCGATTAAAGTTACCTTCAATATCTCATCTATCCAGTTTTTCATGTTTCGCAGTTAAGGAAAAACGTGAGAGGGGAGTTGTGTTACCAAATCTTCCTGAGATGTCAACAAATGATTCTCTACTCTAGTTCCTCAAGTTATTTTAGACTGACGAATTCACAAAGGCAAAATAAAAGTTTAGTCCATCGCAAAGACTGACACCAACAGAAGCTATGTAGGAACATCAAGAAATATTTTCAGAATTGAACCTAGGGACGGGCTTTGTTAAGGGGAAGGGAGCTATTGCATTCGATAATTCTTCTCAGAGCTAACTTAGTTAATAAGAGAAGACCAAGTCCACAACCAATCCGATATATCTTTTAATTGTTTTCAGTTTGCTAGTTTTCACTATTGTCTATGTTTAATCAACTTTCATAGTTGTTGAGAGGTGCTATCCATCACAAGTGGCAGCAGACTTTATCTTCATTTTTCTCTGAAGTTAGTTCATTAGATATAGAGTGCATCAGGGATGCCAGGCGAGCCGAGCTGCTCACGAGTAGCTCAGGCTTGGCTAAGCTCAAGCTACTCATGAGCTTACTGAGCTCGACAGAGGATATATGCAAGTTTTGCAACTATTAGGAGGTACTGTAATGTATCATTTTGTCTCCCTCCTCCTTAAATTGAGAACTAAAACCCTAAATTCTATCTCCTTTTTCGTTTCTTTTTGTCTCACACCTCCTTAAATCTTGTCTTCTTCTCTTTTATCTCCTCTTTCTTTTCTCTTTGTCTTCACTTACGCCAATTTTGTTTCTCTTTCTACCTCACATTTCTTGCCGACCGGTGACTAAACACATTTGGCCACCTCATGTAGGCCTTGCAGCAACTAGATCTGATTGTCGCAAGGCCCTCATATGGCAGCCAAGCAACAATAGATTTGTTGTGTGGGTTGTGGGTGTAGGGGCTGCTACATTTGCTACTATAGTGACTGATTGGGTATGTGGGCTGCTGCATTTGTTGTTGTAGTGGACTGATTTGGTGTGTGGGCTATTGTGTTGTTGGAGGAGTCTTGGGGTTGGCAGTGGTGGATGTGGATAGTGCCATGGAGAGATTGGCAGGTAGATAGTGGTGCAGGTGATGGCGGCGCGGTTGAGATGATGGGAAGTAGCTGGGCAGCGGGGTGGTGGAACCGAGGAGGGTTGCAGGCCAAAATGTAGTATGAAGAAATCTGTTCTTGGGTTGTTGCGATGGTTTTAGTGTTAAACATAAAAAAATAAATACTGAAGTTTGGCTTGTGCAGATCTCGAGTTCGAACTAGGTTCGACTCAGCTCGATCTGCACAGGTAACGAGCCGAACCTAAGGCTGTAATTGAGTTGTGCTGAGCTGAGTTTTAGACTAATCGAGCTCAATTACAAAGGATCGAGCTCGAGTTTGAGACGAGCCTGTCGAGCCTTGGAATTTACAGCTCGGCTCCAACTTGATTTATGGTGGGAGGTAAACGAGCTGGATTCAAGCCGGCTCGGTCAAAGATGTTTGACCAAAATCATTTCAACACCTGCAATTATTCACATATAATAATATACAACAATTTGAATAATGATTTCCCAACTGCCATAAATATAAAAATGCCCTTCTAAACCAATTCTCTCAAGCTTGAAAATAGAATTGATACCAAAGCTATTCCCCATAAAACTAAAATTGATTCTACAATATTCATTCACTGACACAAATAACCTCACAATGAGTTAATTACAACAATGATAATAACTACAAAAATTTAAAAACATTAATCATTGAAACCAGAGGGAAAACTCACCCAATTAATCTAGAAAAATGTGCGGAAGGAACTTTCCTTCCTCTCGGCCTTCGCCTCTTCTCTGGCGCCACCTGAACTTCAACATTGGTTTTAGGACCCATATTATCGGAATTAACTTCTCTAGCAAATCTTCCTTCTGTACAGAATAATCGACTTCAGATTCCGATTTCTCCGAATCAGAAGAAAGACCGCTAGTAGATGATACATATAATCATCACCACACGGTGGCAGTAACTATGACTTTTTAAGTGATGAAGTAAAGGGCTTCAAAATCTCCGGTTCTTGCACTCTCAATGCTTGTGAACGGTTGGCGATTTCTTTGGCCACTAAAGAGACGCCGTTGACGAGCCGAAACGATTTCTTTGCACTCTCAATTAGGGCTAATCTGACGGCGAGAGAACGTGGTAACTCCTGAAACGATCGTCGGGAAGATTAGAGTAACAGGCGGCGTCTCTGACGGCGAGAAGAACGGGAAACGGGACCAAGGCTTCAAGATGATCGGAGATTTCAAGATTTAGGGGTTTACGGATTCCCGAATTAGGGAAGAATGACATTTAACTCTATTTTGATTAGGGAATTTGATTTCAGGGGTTTATTTCGCGTTTTACTAAGTTACATTGGGGGTGAATTGTCATATTACAAAGGTTTGAGATTGAAGATCACATTTTAGTCCCCTATACTTTCTAAAAGTAACTAAATAAACTTGCGTATGCGAGCAGTTTAGGCTCGTGAGCCTATAAGCCGAGCTGCATGCTGATCAAACTCGTCGATTTGTATAACGAGTTCCAATTGAGTTTTTTTCAAGCCCTACATGAGCCACTGGCTCAGTTGACAACCCTAATCGAACCTGAGTCGAGCTGAACCCCATATTTCTATCGAGTTGAGCTCAAGATAAACATTTGAAGCTCGAGCTCGAACTCAAGTTCCAACTGTTCAAGCCAAGCCAAGCTCAAGCTCAAGCTTTCTAATACTTAGCGGATCGATACACCCCTAGAGTGCATCATATCATACTGGAACAAGCCAAAGCACCTAAACGCATGGCTGGCTTCCTAATGATCCATGTCTCTGTGGTGTCCCCGCTCAAACATGAAATGGTGCGTTTGGTTATCAAAGCGGATTGGTTTGTTGGATTCTTAGATGAGTTCGAAATCTTGGTATATATGGCCTGAAATTACGATCATTGTCGCTGTTGCCCCCTCAGTGGAATTACCACTTGTTGTTAGGTTAGGGTTCTGTAATTTTGGTTTGTGGAGATGAGAACCTGTGTAACGCCACCATTAATGCCCCTACCAGGGATAAATTTAATTACTGAATTTTCAAGGGTCATTGATTGATGCGCCAAAATTTCCGTGAAATATCATCATCACTTGCATATCATTTGAAACCATAAAATGGTTTTTACAATGGGTTAGAGTAATCACATAATTTTTGTGTACCTACCTAACATGTTACAAAGTGAAGACAAGCTCCCTAGAGCTAAAATGAACAAAAAAATATTTATAGGTTCAATAGGCGCCTCGATTTCAAGCACATCCTAATATTGCCTAAGATCAATTAGTGCGCCAATTAGCGGGAAAATACGATTGAATACTATGTTTTCGAACTTGGACAAGAAGAACAATATCAGATGAGAAAACCATAGGCCCATGAGCGTAACGCCTTGATAAAATGGAATCTCATTCCAGTGAAAACTATAGGGAAGAAAATAGTTCTCTCATGGGCATAATATTTGGATTCCTGCATGAAAGAAAACAAGAAACGTTAAGTAAAAGCAAAGGAGTATTCTATACAAACATTATTCCGATGAAGGTAAAGGAAAATCTAGAATTAAAAACCACAAGCTGAAAAACTTGAAGAAATAGAAAGAAAATTCGAATTGACCAAAAAAATAACGTAGAAAATCCTGGAAGTGAACTTAAAACTTCTCTAGCCATTCAACAAACTAAATGTGCTTCAGCAAAAATGAAACAAAACAAAAAAAATCCTATATCCCAAATTTAACTCTCAATTATTCAGAAATTTAAGGAAAATAATTGAACATAAAGAAGAGGCTAGTTAATGACTCCCTTGAGATTTCAAGAAAGTACTAATTAGACTCAAAAGTTTCTAAATTGCAGGGATACCTCTCCTCAATGTTATCAATTAACGAAGTTACAAAGGTAAAGAGAAATGACAGGGGATTACGATAATTTAAGATGAAAAATTCATCTTAATGGTCTCGGGGTAAAGTATTCTTACAGTTCAAAAACTTATTGGTCTATTCGACACTTTCTCCAAAACTAATGAAGGTCACAGTAAATACCCCTTAAAAAAAAGGGTCAAAACGTAAATGTTTGAAGACTTGGTCATTTGGCATAGGCAATGCTTTGCATAAACTTGTGAATTTATTAGCAGGCCTATTTGAAGCTGACACTAACTCCCCATGCATACAAAGAATATCACTACATTTCAAATTGTTCCACGATGGTAAGACAACTATTTGATAATCATAGCACCCAAATGTATTATTCCTTAAAAGAACAAGCCAAATTGAACCTAATAAACAAGTGAATGAAAGGGTATAACAGGTCTTAAAATCTTTGTATCTCCTCTCATTTATATGTTCAACCTTTTATATGCTCAACCTTTTATTTGGGCATTACGTTTCAAAACATGCTGAAAATAAATTCAAACAAAAAGTGCAGTCAAAACCGACAGCTTCCATGCGTACAGAGCATATCTAAATACTTATATAATGTTTTATGGTCATGAATTTTAATATATTAGTTATTTAAGTAACAAACAAACCAAAAAATTATTAAGGGACTTATGGATTTCAAAATTGCTTACCTCTCATTCTCCTCTCCAATGTGTCAATTCACTACACCGTGCATATAACTTCGCCACCTGCTCTTCTGCTTCAGTATCATTAACTATCCCCCTACACCTTGGAAAGCCACAATAGCATGACAGTTGTTCATCGATTGAAAAGAACCTACCACAAAGATAGAAGTCAGAGCCTAAAGAAATCATGGTATTAGTATAAATACAGAGGAGTTGAGGAGAACCTGTAATCATAAGTCAGTTCTTCCCATTGCTTAATATCTCTTTTAGCAAATATAATAATGTGCTCATCACCATTAACACTTATAACTCTGGAATAGCAATTTGGCTGCATCAAGCAAAGATAAAATTAGCATTTTGAATATCTGGATACAAGTAAGCATCTAATCACAATGACACAATATCAAGTCAATCTTCGCAAAGGATTATCAACAGCTTGCATAGACAAACCATTCAAAACCCCAATATGAGCATTGCAAATAGTACATGAACATTCAGCTTCAGGAAATATTGTCAAGAAAAGAAAATCTATGAAATTATTATCTTATGACTGTAGTAAACCCCAAACAAATTTTTCACCTGCCTATGGCTTAGGTAGAAAAGCTTTATATGAGAGATATTTCTTAAAAGCAACAAAAAGGAATGAAGAAAGTAAGAGAGAATGATCCTCACTTCACACGAGTGATTAATTAGATGCGCAATGCTCCCAGCCCTTGTGGCATCAATGACTCGTTCATCATCAATCCGAAACATATAAGTGCCAGCACCCTGCAACATCATGATAAGTTCAGGAATTTGCAGAGGGTATAAACCTTAAAAAATTACCGAATTAGTATTATTGATGACAGCTGTACTACGATGATGCAAACACAAAATAAGCTGATCTCTGAATACACTCTAAGAGTACATACCACCAATGAATTGTAAATAAAGTGTTCTCTTCGATCAGCAATAGGAGGTCGAACAAGTTCTCCAGTGTATTCAATCACCTAAAAGTTAGGCAATTTAATTCATTATTAATGCCCAGAATACCAAAAACAATTATATCAAACTTGGACTTACAGAGCAAATCATTTTACCATATCTCCTGCTCTATGTGGATGCTTTGCAAATATGCCAAACCCATGAATTGCTGATTTACCTAGGGCATTGAAATCCCAATGATCCAAAAGGAATCAAAATAAAAATATAAAATTCAGAATGTTACTTTTATACATAGGAAACTTCAAACAAGTAATCCAATAATCTATGCAAGACATTAGAGAGATGAAACTGGCAGACTAGAATGCCCTATTACTGCTGTTAGTAAAATTTGTATTTGAGTTACATATCTAAGCAATTGTATAATAAAGCTTTGAGAATGCAAATTGACAACATAAAAGTAATACAATTCAAATAACAGAACACGTCTTAATTTACTATTGGTATTAAACTTGAAAAACTGAACACTGAAGAGTAAGAAAACCCAATTAGTATTTGTGAAACCCACCAACTTGCTGGACTATATATTATTAATTAAAACAACTTACCAAATGCCAATCTCTTTCGGAAGGTCTCCCTCATATATTTGTATTTCTCAGCCATGGAAAGAATATTGGTATGAGCATCCCTGTGAATGCTGAAAGAAAATTTAGAGCCAATGACTCCAACAGAAGGCAATATGTTTTCTGACAATCCATGTTGGCAGTAACGACCAACCAAGTACGGTTGATTCTCTACAAACAAACGCTTTAACGATGCGGCAGCAAGAGCTTCAGGTTCTTTCCGTCCTCTTCTTCCAAAATTATTGTAAGGCTCTATAGAAGATGATATGAAAGATCCCAATAAAAATAACATTCAGCCTTTGATCTAAAAAATTCATCCAAAGCAGTTTTACACATGAATTTTTCCCTGCTACATGTCTGTACCTCAGTGATGCTAACATAGGAGACAGTAAATGGCAAAACTGAACAGACATTATTTACATGGCATGTTGCTGACATGCAGCACTAATTAAATATACCAAATTTCAGAATTTTACAATTACACATGCTAAGATTGAGAGCATCGACAAAATCTTTCCATAGAGAGATTCAATAAAAATACAAGCTCACAAACCAAGGACAAAAAATAGGGATCTATAATTTAATATGCGATGGCTCAAGGATCTAGGCTGGCAGCTACCGTGAGGGCCAAGGAAGGCTGAGTATAGTTCCTTTTTTCCCTCCTCAGACTTTAATAGGGAGAACCAGTATTATTGATTTGCCACTCTCAACAGATATACACATTCAATAGATATGTTTTTATCTAAAGCTGTGACTATATGTCACATCTCTTGGAGGTTCTATCGGTTGAGAATTTACATCCAATTCCGATAAAAATGAACTAAACCATCCTTTTTTGCAGGTTATTCTGGCCCTGTTTGTTTATAAGCTTGTTTCCCAATTTTTGTTTTCAAAGTTAACATTNAATAAAAATACAAGCTCACAAACCAAGGACAAAAAATAGGGATCTATAATTTAATATGCGATGGCTCAAGGATCTAGGCTGGCAGCTACCGTGAGGGCCAAGGAAGGCTGAGTATAGTTCCTTTTTTCCCTCCTCAGACTTTAATAGGGAGAACCAGTATTAAATCAACAGATATACACATTCAATAGATATGTTTTTATCTAAAGCTGTGACTATATGTCACATCTCTTGGAGGTTCTATCGGTTGAGAATTTACATCCAATTCCGATAAAAATGAACTAAACCATCCTTTTTTGCAGGTTATTCTGGCCCTGTTTGTTTATAAGCTTGTTTCCCAATTTTTGTTTTCAAAGTTAACATTCAGTTATCATTTGCAAATTATGTATTCAAAAACCAAGAAAAGGCAATAATGACATTACACCTAAAAGTGAAAAAAATTGCAAAACACATTTAAAAGTGTCTCTACTTTTTTATTACCACTGAGGAGATAAAGACAAAAAAAATAAAACTTTACAACTGATCACCTATTCTCTTCCTTCTCCCTCTCCCAATTCCATTCTCTCCACTCACCGAACGAAAGAAACCACAACTTTCAGGATAGACCTACCCAAAATCTGTATTAAACTCTACAATACCCATAAATCAAAGATCAATTTTAGCCATGTTAATTTTCTGTGTTTCTTTGGGTTTTATTTTTTGAAATAGGAAATTGTCATATTGCAAAGAGAGAGAGAGGTTTGCACAAATAATCAATGGAGGTTTCAAATTTTGACCTAATTAATGTCTCCATTACTCGTTGAGATACTGGTTCAAATAAAGCTTTTGTGTTTCTTTTATGAGAGCTTAGACCAAGTGGGCTTTAATAGATACCATTAAAAATAATCAATGATACAAGAACCTTGTGTGTGTGTTCTAATTTTGACCTAATTAATCTCTCTGTTGCTTGTATTTCATTTAGTTCGTGTTTATTGTTTAAATTAATGTCGATTACAGTGAAAAATGGAAAAAGAGAAATTTTGACCAATCAAATTTATGAATCTGCACAAGAATTTAAGATGCAAAATAACATACCACTACGAGCACAGCCAGATGGATTAGATGGAGGGCTGTAGTCACAACATCGACGAGTGATTTGCCCAACCCGTTCATCAATAGCTAAACGATCATTTGATGGTTGTCTATGCTTCTTGCAAAAGGAAAGTAGACGAATGCACTGATCTTCATCATCTTCATCAAAAGATAGAAGATTGAGTCGATCTTCATCCTCAAGCTACACAAAACAAATAAATAAATAAATAAAATTTACATAACACAAGATTCATGAGCCACATTATCCACCATTTATACCAGCTACAACATCTAGCAATATGAAAGAAATCTTAAAATATTCATAAAAATGAAAAATACCTCAACACAAAGACCAGCTGCTCGTGCACAGAGTGGATGATATGCAACTCGACAGGTACTGTTTGAACACTATAAACAATTGACAATGTAAGAATAAATACATACATCAATAATATTTGATTTACTTTGGGTGAGCATTTAAACAATAGGCATATCTCAAATATCTATCTAATGAAGATCTTTATTTAAAACCTTTATATTATCAACGGAGAACACATTAAATAATTCCAACAGAGAAAACAACACATGCATTGAACTATAAATGGAAAACTGCTAATATATTAGGGCATGTTTGATGTCCAATCCGGAGAGAATTCCTTGTTTTTGAAAAACAAGAAATATATGGAATCTTCAGAAAAAGCATTTGGCTAAAATATTTTTTAAAATTTCTTTGGAATTCAACTATAAAAGTTAGTTCAATTTCAGAAAAAAAGAAAAAAGAAAAAACAACACCAAAGATATAATTCAGATGAAAAATCCCAGATCCAATGTTTCTTCTCAATAGTGTATCATGTGAAAAAGAGATGCTAAAAGTGTTGATCACCTTTTCTAACATTGCCCAACCTCCTTCCTCTTGTTGTTCCATTCTTATAGAAAGATTAGGGCTTCTAGGGGAATAACAAAGCAATAATCTAGTCGGATCATGCAGTTTGGGTCATTTGGATTGAGAGAAACAAAAGAATTATTGAAGAAAATAGAGGAGAAGATTCTTGTTTGTGGGATAGAAGTTAAATTTTATGCCTCATGTGGGCTTCAATATCTTCAGAGTTTAGAGGTATTCTTTTGATTTTTTTATCAATAAAGAAGCATAGCCTTCTAGCTTCCTTTTCTTTGGGAATGTTGTATGGGAGCTGCTTTTGTCATTAGTTTCCAACCCCCTAATTAGGACCTTTTAAACATAAGTTTTTGGTAGGAAGTAAGCTTTCACTTTATCCCTTTGGGGAGACCTAGTTTTCTTACATGCATACTTTTGATCTCCTTTCTTAATAATAACTCTTTAATTAAAAAATATGATAAAAATCTTCATCTGCAATCTCTTTAATTCCCTTTATATTATTGCATTCTATTCATTTCACACTCGCAACTAAACTTAGAAGCTTAAAATTGGTAAAATTGCAAACAGTACATGTACAAACAAATTCAGACCCTCTCTCTTAGTTGTGTACATATTTTCCTTCACCTGGCATCTATTCATCAGCCTTTTTCTTTTTATTTTGCATGATTTTTCCTATTCTCCCAATGCTTTGATTGTTGTGAAAAAAAAAAAAGATCAATCATGTCACAAGCAATATTACCATTAAATATATTCAAGAATATAGGGAAAAAGGAGTTAGCAAGACAAACACGTAGCATTAAAAGATAGCTATTCTAGGCTCAAAAATTAAGTAAAACTATTTTGAAGAACTCCAAACAAATTAAGATAGACAAATAAACAAGTATAAAAAGAATGTAAATTACACAAATATATTACTATTATAGTAAAACAATATAGCATCACAGTAAATCAAAACAATTAGATAAATTACAAGCTTACTTGAATACAAGCTCCATAAGATACGCCACAAATGCTACATAACAACTTCCAACGATCCTGATTGAATTATAAGCAGCATTAGGGGAAAAAAAAAAAAAAAAAAAACTAGCACCCTTAATTCACATAAGTTTTTAAAAAGAAAAATTTAATTGAAAATAAGCAAAAGAAAAAGTAAAAATGGGCATGTGACAGCAATAAAAGATAAATAAACTAGCAAAAACAATTACCTTATTAATTCTATCTAAACCATCTATAGGCTCCATTCTCTTGACATCAGATAAGCAAGTTTCTAAAGCACAGTTCAGGGGTTCAACACAACTTAGTACATAGAGAGAAACAAAAAAGGAATAAACAACGTCAAAATCATGGAGTTACTAACCAGGTATCCATATTGCACAAGCCAAATGAGCCCAGCGCCCATCAGTAGTAGGCTTCATTGCACCCCCTGAACAAAAGTTAAATCACAGATCAGTGGATCCACAGCTTTCCCAACCAGAAAAAAAAAATGGCCTTGCAATGGAAAGTACCAATAACAGGACAAAGGCAACAAGGAGGAGGAGATTCAGGAGCCCCTGGGCAACATAAGTTGCATAACCATAGCACACCATCAACAGGTTCTAATTCCCCGTAACATCTGGCATGAACCTGACAGAACATATGAATAAACTACAGATGAGACAAAAATTTCCAACAAAAAGGAAAAAGAATTCCCACTCTAATATGGCCAAGAAACAGTCTTTGCAAATAATAACATAAAAATGCTCAATATATTTAACTAACACAAGAAACTGTTGAAAACTATGATTAAAATGTTTTATAAATTCTGCCACAATTTGAACCAAAGAGAAGCAACGATTATGCTACAGTAGTATGTAAAGAAGTTCTTACCATCATTCTGCATTTATCACACTGCAGGAATAGATTATCTTCATACTCCTAATAGTTAAACAAACACAATTAGTACAAGTAAGCTATCAAATGTAAACACAAAAAGGAACGTCAATTTGTGGAAAAACCAACAAATACTTTTGTTCTCTTAGTGGACATTTTTTTCCACTTCACATGTAATACTTTCATCTTCATATACTGATATAGATAATTTCTTAACAAAAAAAATAAAATAAAATAACTTGCAGAAAGTAATAAAAACTCAAAGTGCCTGCGAAATAAACTAAAAAAAGATTTGCGCAAAGAGCAAAAGAACATCTATTTTTTTAACAGTGCTATTGAAAAAAAAAAATGGCTTTCACCTCATCCATGTGGCAGACACTGCATTTATCAAGATCTTTCCAGTCAACACGAACAGGTCTGTAACCAGCAGGTAGATCTCGACATCTTCCAGAGGTCAACTTGCACATAGAGAATTTTGAGGTATATCTGGATTTCGACAATCCCTGTCAGTACCATTAAGCATTTATTATGAGCTTTTATCCTGGCAAAAAATTATTTTATATGACGAAGCCAAATTACAAAGAAAAAGACTATAGACACAGCACACACCTAACTGAATAAAAGGCTCAAGACATAATGATATACAATAAAAATTCAAATTTATAAAACTAAAAGCAAAATTTTAGATTTCAAGAGGAAAATTATAAAATGTTTTACCTTTATAAGTTTCATAACTTCAGGATTGGAAAAACCAAACATTTCATGACCAGATTCATAGTTTTTCTCCACACCACCATCAGCACTGAGACCATCAGAAGAATTATTCTTTTTCTTCCTTAGTCTTCTATATATTTTATTCCAACAAGCAGATGGAGTGGATCCATTGAACTGCCCAATATAAAAGAAAGAATATAAACACGTCATAAAAAATATACTGCACTAGGTAAGATAAGCATTTAATAGTGTAAGAAAGATAATGAGTTACATTGACAAAAAGTACTATGAAACTAAATTAACAAAACTGAACATAAATAGAAATAATCATACAAATCTACCAGGAAAGAAAAGAAAAGGACTGTGTAGAAATGAGATGTGAAAATGTAGAGTATGAAAACCAAGCAAAAGTTCAGTAAAAGATTTATAAAATGCATTGGCTTCGTTTGGTTCACAATTGGGTGTTTTTGGGAAAAGTTTTCTGAAAAAAGTTAAAACAAAGTTGAATTGGGCGGGTATTACGATGTAGGATTTATAAATTAATAAAATACCCCCTATATTTGTTTATTTACAAAACACCCCCTATAATAAAATCTTAAAAGTTAACAAAAACACCCCCAACCCAATGTCAAATACGGACAGCCGGCCACCACTGCCGGAGGGTGGCCGGATTCACCGTATTGGCGCATGACCGGCTGGATCTTGCCGGTCGTGCGCCGATATGGCCTTTGCCGGCCAGATCCATGGTGGATCTGGCCGACAAAGGCCAGATCTACGGCCAGATCTGGCCGTATTTTCTCGTCAACGACGACCAACAAACGGTCGTCGTTGATGGTCAACGACGACCGTTTGTTGGCCGTCGTTATAAACTGTTGCGGCCAAAGATCTGGCCGTCAACGGCCAGATCTTTGGCCTTAGATCTGGCCTTTTCCAGCCAGATCCACCGTGGATCTGACCGAAAAAGGCTAGATCGGCGCACTACAGACCAGATTCAGCCGGTAGTGCGCCATCCTAACAGATTCCGGCCATTTTCCGGCAATGGTGGCCGGAATCTGGTAAATATGAATTACTGGGGTGTTTTTGTAATTTTTAAAAAAATATTTAGGGGTATTTAATTAAATTATCAAATTTAAGGGGTTTAAAAAAAGTTGAATAATATTGGGAGTAGTATTCCCAAAAATCAAAGTTTTTGGGTATTTTACTGTTTAACTTTTTTGGGAATACTAAAAGTAGTATTCTGAAAATTGAAACAAACAAAGCCATTGTTTTCTTCTATGTTTTGCTGAATCAAACTAGGATAATTCAGTGAACAAAGGATAAAGCAAGTTTCTAAAGAAACAAAATTTACAAATCTATTTTAATATGGATTATTCCTGCTCTACTGCAGTTACTATTCAGTCAAAATTTGTTGTTAAGCCAGTTAAAAATAAAGCTGACTTTGCTTTACAGAACTAACCCAGTTTTGAAGTTTGGCAATCACCCAAGTTAAGGAAAAGCCTAATATACTCTACCATGTATAAGCTTGCATATAGGGCATATTTAGCAAAACAAATTACAAAAGCTAAGATGAAGTTTAAAATGAAAAGATATAAAGAAAGAAAAATGCAAGAAATATCAAATTTTACATTGCAAACCAGAGCAACCATAAAACTGAAGATCTCAGTTTGTTCCATCAAAATATACAACTAACCTGCTCATTTCCATCCATTGTGACTCTAAATAGAGGTCTGCTATTTGACTCAGGATCTCGCAACACTTCCATCTTATAAGAGCTACAAACGCTGGGATCTGAACCTCAGATGAGAGCAAAAGAAAAACATGAATACATAATACGCTGGTAGGTTGAAGAGCCTCACATTGTTTTCACAAGTTTTGACACGAGTTTACGTCATTGGATTAATCCATTTGAATGGTTGAGACAGCATTTAAGTTGTGTCCTTTCCAAGGTGTATTAATGTGCAAGTTACATTGAATTCAAAAAGAATTAATGCATGGTGACTTTGTGAATAGACTTCAACAAAAAATTATTTTAAAAAAAAACCTGTTATTGAAGTGAACTTCCTAATGGCTGTATATCCTTCAGGCCAGATGAACCTATCATCCTGAAAATATTCAGAATCCTTCACAATTTTTCCTGAAAGGCAAAAATTTCATTAGCCCGCAAGTACAGTCAAAGATGTCAAATCTTTTTACACAAGAAGCAACACTCTTAAGTCTTAATTATGTAAAAGAGAAAAACAAAACAACAAAAAAAGAGTTACCAAGACTTATTATTTGCAAATCCCCAACTACATATGGAGAAGTTCCAAGACTTCCAGGTGTTCCCTGAATCCTTTCATCTTTTATGCAAACTTCACCAGAATCAGAACGTCCTTCATCCTCACTACAGGTGTTTTCACAAACATTTGCAACCATGCCATTTCGCAATAATAGCATTCTTCTGGGAAGCTTTTGTTCACTCAGATACCTAGTTGAAACCAGATAGGTGTTACATTAGCATCCCAATAGAACAACAGATATTAGCCTCTAGGAAAAGAATAGCTAGTCAAAGAGGAGAAAGGGAAAAGTAATACAGAACACTGAATAACCACAAGGATATTAATGCACATAAATATCTTGATTTCTGCAAAAGCAAACCTATTAAGCGTACACATCAAACATTGATAACCATAAACCTCAAACTTAACATCATTAAGCCTTCAGGATAAGATCACATCATAAGCAAGACAGTAAGTACAGCCATTAACTGGGAAGAATAAAGGGGAAAAGTCAACAATTTAGAGCCAGCATACTCATGTCCATATGCAATCACATGAAAGCCAATTTACAGGGGCAAAATCAAAAGCATACAAGGAACCAAAAAACATGACCTCAAAATACGTGGTTAATGATGGAAGAGTGTGTGTTTTAACACATTAGCAACAATACAATATATCAAGCTATACAGAGCAGAGCAAATGCTTAAATGAAAACTTTCCATAAATTGAAAGAGATAGATAAATGCTATTTTGTTAAATATCATATTTCAGTATCACTTGGACAAATGGACTCTTATAATTAAGCTTACACTTTTGCTTCTTCCAAGCTTCGCGTGAATCGAGGTTTCTTGCACTTCAGGTGGAAAGAAGAAAGAAGTCCTTTGAGAAACGAAATTACCTGTTTTACATTTATTCTGGATAATTACAAAAGCATGCTGATGTTAGCCCCTAAAAGATAGGACTATATTTACTCTGAACATTTACAATTATTTCAGTGCCCAACAGAAAATATTAATCTACATCCTCACAATACTTTCACAAACCTTGCAAAATCATGTGTACCAAAAAATTGCACGGGAACTGATCTTCCTCCCAATATTTTATTTAAACCTTTATGATCACCAATAAGCGATTCCTCCACAACAACTGCTGGCCACATAGAATGACCTGCACTAAAGCAATTAAAAGATATGTTCGGTTACAACAGAAAAAGAAAAAAAAATGAGTTGATGGATGTATACTGTATAAATTGAATTACAGACTATATCTGATTAGTGATACTATCAACAAAATCAGAATACTTAAAAAAGGACGTGACAAGTTTCAAGAACATGAAGTTTTACCAATAATATAGTGTAGCTTCAGATCATTAAGCAAATAATGAATAGCTTAACACAAAAACGGTCCTACTAATCTCCTCATCAGCTAGTAATCCAATATTTCTAAGAGAGAACATAAGTTACTAACTCTCCACAGACAAATCAACCTCAAGCTTTAACCAAATGTACTAGTGATAACACCACTGCATGCAAGTTTAGGCAAAGGCAATCAACCTCCCAAGCATAAGCTAAGCCTAGTTCAAACAATAATCCTTCAAATGCTTCTCAAATCAACAATGTATAGACAAGCAAAAGAATACAGCACACTTATGCAACAATATAGATACCGATTTAAGATTTTTTATACCAATAATGAACTTTTATATTAAATATACCATATTTGAGGTCCCAATAACTATATCAATGGATACGTCATAGTGTCTCCATTTTGTTGATGAACTCTATAATCACAATGTTCAGCTCCAGAGATATAATTGAGCACAGAATTTAGGTCTCATGATACATAAGGGCCTTATATTATTTAATAATCTCAAACTAAGGTCTAAGTGAACATTTTTCTTTATAACTTTTTATTATGGCATAAAAGAAAAGATGAGAATAAAAACAAATGGATTTAGAGCACACCAGTAAGCTTTGCCCAAATAATATCCCCAGGCTCAGGTTCTTGGCAATCATCCAAAGTGGCAGCCAACACAACCATCTCATTGTAGTCATAGCCATCATTATCCATATTATTAGCGCTGACAGTCAATTTCAGACGGTCTATCTCCTCTTGAGAGATATAAAATTTAATTTTCTCATTCGAAAGAATCAAATCTTCTTCATCTCCGTCTTCATATTTAACCTACATTACATGAAATAAACTCCAATAACTTTACATACATCTTAGAAGTCCTAAGCAGTTTAAAGAACCAAAAAAAAGATACAAAAGCCATACATAATGCCGATTACTCTCTGAGTCGCAACCAACAACACAACCAGAATACCAATCTGCATCCAACGGCCAAAAAACCTGCACTAAAATAGCTTATTATTGCTTTATTGAAACATAAAACCAACTTTTGACACAAAATACTAAACTTCTAGGAAAGAGGAAGTAAATGCTTGCCTTGCATTGTAACCCAATGAATGCTTTCGGATCAACACCATCAAAACTCAACCTATAAGTTATATTTTTTCTCATCAAACCAAAATTCAATACAAAAGGAGAAGGAAAAAAAAACTTCTATCATTTTCATTTTACACTCACAATTATCATTACACCCATATACCAACTCGAACCACGCCATTTCAACTTGGTAATACACAAATGAAAATCCTTTAGTTTACCAGAAAATTCGATTCACCAATGCAATTAAAAACATAAAAACTCACCTCACCCATCGTTTAGTAGTTGACGAAATAGACAAAATCGTCTTGGAATCACGCTGCTTTCTCTTTAAACTGCCACTATTACTAGCACTATACAAATTAAAATTGTTAGCTTTATTGCTGTTTCTGCAGTCCCTCAATCGCGGGCCATTAAAGGATCTCAAAACGCTAGAATCCACCCCCAATTTCTCCAACTCACTGCTCCCAAGCCTCCTCTTCTTCAAAACCCTCAAATCAACATCAATTTTATCTTCTAATTCACAAATTTCATGTTTCACAGTCTGGCGCGAGAGCAGAGACTTGAAATACGAAGAATGAGGATGCTTGCTTGATCGGCGAGAGTACACGTGGACGATTGGGGGCTTGGCGACAGATAGCTTGAAATCGGAATCGTCCAAATGGTTAACTACAAGCTTTCGAGCTTTTACCTTTTTAGACATAACGTTGGAAGAACCGCTGGCGCTGGAACTGACGCAAGCCGAGTAAACACGATCCAAAGAAGCGTAGCGAAGGGGAGTGCCGGTGTTGTGAATGTCGATGTTAGTGTCGTCGTCTTGTTGTTTGAGATGGAAAGCCATTGCGGGTGTCTCAGTCTGCTTATCTTAGGGTTTTAAAAGAATTGGAGGGAGGGAGGGAGGGAGGAAGGGAGGGAGGGACAAGAGTGGAATTTTTTATTTTCTTTTTTCCCCAAATCATCCCTTTCCCGCCGTGTTTGTAAGGCCACCAGCGCCAGCGTACAACTCTGCAATAGAAAGAGCTTTTAACTTTCTTCCTCCTCTCTCCACATTAATATTCAATTACTTTTTTATTTTTTATTAATATCACACAAACTACTCTTTATAGAGTTACTTTCCCCTCAATAAATGGAAAACTGCTAATATATTAGGGCATGTTTGATGTCCAATCCGGAGAGAATTCCTTGTTTTTGAAAAACAAGAAATATATGGAATCTTCAGAAAAAGCATTTGGCTAAAATATTTTTTAAAATTTCTTTGGAATTCAACTATAAAAGTTAGTTCAATTTCAGAAAAAAAGAAAAAAGAAAAAACAACACCAAAGATATAATTCAGATGAAAAATCCTAGATCCAATGTTTCTTCTCAATAGTGTATCATGTGAAAAAGAGATGCTAAAAGTGTTGATCACCTATTCTAACATTGCCCAACCTCCTTCCTCTTGTTGTTCCATTCTTACAGAAAGATTAGGGCTTCTAGGGGAATAACAAAGCAATAATCTAGTCGGATCATGCGGTTTGGGTCATTTGGATTGAAAGAAACAAAAGAATTATTGAAGAATATAGAGGAGAAGTTTCTTGTTTGTGGGACAGAAGTTAAATTTTATGCCTCATGTGGGCTTCAATATCTTCAGAGTTTAGAGGTATTCTTTTGACTTTTTTATCAATAAAGAAGCATAGCCTTCTAGCTTCCTTTTCTTTGGGAATGTTGTATGGGAGCTGCTTTTGTAATTAGTTTCCAACCCCCTAATTAGGACTTTTTAAACATAAGTTTTAGGTAGGTAGTAAGCTTTCACTTTATCCCTTTGGGGAGAGCTAGTTTTCTTACATGCATACTTTTGATCTCCTTTTTTAATAATAACTCTTTAATTAAAAAATATGATAAAAATCTTCATCTTCAATCTCTTTAATTCCCTTTATATTATTGCATTCTATTCATTTCACACTCGCAACTAAACTTAGAAGCTTAAAATTGGTAAAATTGCAAACAGTACATGTACAAACAAATTCAGACCCTCTCTCTTAGTTGTGTACATATTTTCCTTCACCTGGCATCTATTCATCAGCCTTTTTCTTTTTATTTTGCGTGATTTTTCCTATTCTCCCAATGCTTTGGTTGTTGTGAAAAAAAAAAGATCAATCATGTCACAAGCAATATTACCATTAAATATATTCAAGAATATAGGGAAAAAGGAGTTAGCAAGACAAACACGTAGCATTAAAAGATAGCTATTCTAGGCTCAAAAATTAAGTA